CACATATATTTTTATGTGGTGCTGAGAATTAAACTCAGTGCCTCATGCATGGTAGGCAAGCGCTCTACCTCTGGACCACAACCCCAGCCCCAAATTCTTCTAAAAATTCTTCTAAATCTGAATTTAATACCTCTGTCCATAGTTAAAGATTATTACTCTAGATGATGAATTAAAACTCTGAGTCTACAAACTTATACACCAATTTTCAGCAGCATTTTTCACAATAGCCAAAAGGTGGAAACCACCATTTGTTCATCAACAGAAGAATGGATACACAAAATATGGTATATATATACTTGGAATATTATTCAGTCTTAAAAAGAAATGAAATTTGGGGCTGGGGTTTAGTGGCAGAGTACTTGCATAGCATGTGTGAGGCACTGGGGTCAATCCTCAGCACCACATAAAAATAAATAAAGGCATTCTGTCCATCTACAACTACCAAAAAAATCTTGAAAAAAGGAATGAGGGCTGGGGATATAGCTCAGTTGATAGAGTGCTTGCCTTGCATGCACAAGGCCCTGGATTTAATTCCCAAGAAAAAAAAAAAAAAAAAAAAAAAAAAAAAGAATGAAAGTTTGATACATGTTACAATATGGATGAACCATGTGAACATTATGTGTATAATTCAATGGCATTAAATTCCCTCTATAGCATCCTTCCACTGAGCTATCCCAGCCCAAAAATGAACATAAATTAATCAAATTTAAATTTAAAAGATATGTCCAATGTCAGTTTAAGACATTGTCATCCAGCCATGTTGTCCTTCTAGGCAACTAAACTAGAGGGGAACTGGGTCCTTTAAGTTCCAAAGACCCTCTCCATTTGCCGCAGACAAATTTTTCCACAAATGACCTGGGGACAACAGCTGACTCTCCCTTCTACTGCTACTTGTCAATGTGATCATCTGGACAGAAGCTCTTCATTCTGGTGCAAGCTGCCAGCTTCCTCTCTACACACTTATTTTGACTTTGCCCTAAAACAGCATTCCCATATAGAAAAAAAATAAGAGGCTGAAGAAGGAAAGAAGAGAGCCCCTTCCATCCAGCCTCCCAAGCACCCATTATCACTGTACCAAGAGAAATGGATGGTCCTTTGGGCTGAGCTGCCTGTCAGTGAATTTAGGTGTCAATTTTTCTAGGAGTCTTTCAGCTTCTGAGTGGGAGGCCCCTTTGGGAGCCCCTGTGATAACTGGTACTGATGCATGCAGACCTCCCCCTCTCTCCTGGACTTTGGCCTGGTTGTCCACTGGTCTCACCATCTGCCCTTCCCCACCCATCCTCCTTTGATTATTATAAAATTGCAAGTTGGCTCTCTGATTGCCTGGGAAGCACTTCAGTGGCTGGAAGCTGAATTAGGGGCTTCCACTCATTATGACTCATGAGAGCATGAGTCACATGTCTGTCATTGCTTATTTACTTCTCTGTCTCCCCCATTAGGCTGTGAGAGAAGATGCATGTCTGAATTCCAGTGGCTGGGGAGGCTGAGATAGGAGGATCAAAGTTCAAAGCCAGCCTCAGCAATTTATCAAGGCCCTAAGCCACCTGGCAAAACCCGGTCTCAAAATAAAAAATAAAAATAAAAAGGGCTGGGGATGCGGTTCAGTGGTTAAACAGTCTTGGGTTCAATCCTTGGTATAAAAAAAAAAAGAGAGAGAGAGAGAAAAGACTCTCCTTAATTCTCTGTCTTTAATGCATACAGTAGAGATAATATTAAATAAATGAGTAATGAATGAGTAGAAAGAGCTATTCACTTGTCCATTCCCCCTCTCTGACTTGACTTAAGATTCTTTCCAAGTGAAAAATTTGCCTGATCCATTAGGGGACCCCAGAAAACAGTTCTTGGTTCATCCAGAGGATTCTGAAGTCAGACTGTCTGGATTGAAATTCTGGCTCCACTGTTGATCTTACCTGCCCTCTTTGAGCATGTTTCCTTTCCATGATAAAAGGATGAGAATAGTCCCTTCCTCATAAGCAATAGTGAAGACAAAAACCTGTCTGAATGTTTAGCACAGAGCTTGTCCCATAGTAAATGGATGCTGGGGTCAAGGTGGGCAAGGTGAATGCATCCAGAGATTAAGGAAAACCAGAGGAAATAAGCATCACTGATACTGTTAGTTTCCCCAGCATGCTGGGGTTTGTTAGTGTGGGGTGGGGATGGGTGAGGCCACTGCCAGAATGGGGTAATCCCAGAGGTTGCCTGTCTCCTCCCACCCTCCCCCTCCTGCCAGGGTTGCAGAGTCTAAGCTCACCCACCAAGAAGCTGAGCAGCCCCAGAACTGGGTGGTGGTGAGGGGCCAGAAATAACTGCTGTTGCTATTCCTGCCTTTCTGTGCTGGATGGAAACGCTGCCTTTCTAATCTAAAGGCTGCTCTCAACTTCCTGCACATCAGTGGGCTCTTATGTAATGCTCCCCTCCCTCTCCTGCCCAGCGATCTTCCAGAGATTTCTGCAGCCCGCTGGCTTTGCTGCACATTCAGCAGGGGGTAGGGGGAGCAAAGAAGCCACCACAGGCTGGATTGTACTCTGATCCCAGGATCCTGCCAGCCTCAGACCTGGGAGAGGGGCTACCCAGCACAGGGCAGAGGGACTGACATCCAAGGACAGGCAGCAGCCTCTTTCTGAATCTGCAAGACACCCTCAGGCAGAGGAGACCCAGACAGCCCTACCTAAGTATTCAGACCGACCCCTCATCTGCCCTTCTTCCCCTTATAGGCCCTCTTAAAGACAGATTACTGTGCCAACCACCCCCCAAGTTATAATATTTTAGGCCTAACCTAATTGTTTGGCGTAGTGGTCCTAAGGTAGACTCTGAGGACTTGACTCAAGCAGCCAAATCCTCCACAAGATGGAGCTGCCCCTAGACCCATTCAAGGCTAAGCCCCCCATGTTTCCAGTGAAGCCCATCAGCCATCGGAAAGTGTGACAGGCAACCCAGATAGAACCCAAGAGAGAGTCATTTCCTGAGCCCTGGGACAACCACAGTGGTGGCAAACCACAGCGAGCAGCACATGTGGGTGCTGACGTAGCACAGCGCTGGGAGGAGGAAGCGGCAATGGAAAAAGGGACTTGTTTTCCTCTGAAAGCTACACCTGCTAAACCCTGGGTTGGGTGTCTGGGACAAGATAGCTGCACTGGCTTTCTCCTGGAGCTTCAGCTGTCTGGGCAAGCCCCTTCTCTCACTTCTATCTTCTCCTCCTCTCCAGTTTGTAGACCTTCCCAGGGCCTCCCTCCATAGGGCTCCTTGCACCAGTCACCTGGCCAGCAATTTTGAGAACCCCAGGTCATCCCTTACCATCCCTTGAGGCCCAGTAGCCCCTCAGACCAGGGTGCAGGAGTGGCTCAGAGCCTTCCTTACCTCCAACATGTTTTCCCATAGGCCCAAGGCCAGTTGTTCCATCTGGGTTTTTAGGCACAAGTTGGATACTGACAAGCCCAAGCCGAGATTTGGTTCCTTGGGAGGGGCCAATTCTTTTTACTATGTCTCCTCCCCTCTCCCACTGCCCCAATCACAACAAGCTTAAGTGTGCCATTGGACAAAAGGCAGATTGGAGTGGGGATGCCCCTAGCACAGCTGCTAAGAAGCCAGGTCAGTAACATAAATCTCTCCAGGGGGCAAATTTTAGATTGTCCTTCTTGCTGACTGCCCCTCCACAGAGAGCTACAGCCTGGGCAGTGTGCAGGGCGATGAGCTCAGCTCCTCTCACGGTTCCCAGCAGAAGCTGTCTTACAGGGGCTTCTGCCATGGAGCTGGGCAGAGTTAAGAAAACCCACTTCCATGAATGAGCCTCAAGGGTAAAATAGGAGAGAGTGAGGATGGAGGGGTACAGTTTAACCCTGGACATTCTCACTGTCCACTCTGATCATGGCTCAATTTATTTCTCTTACGGACTTTGCAAGGCTATTGTCTACCTGGCCTCCTCCAAGATGCCTTCCCTCACCTCCAGAGTATATGAATTGTACTTACTATAATATGGAATTATTCTTTTTATTTGCATAACTATTTATTTTTGATCTATTTTATTGACTAGTAGCTTCCACAAGGGCAAAGACTCTGTAAGACTTAGCACTGCATGGGCTTGGGATAGAACTCACTAGTAGAGTACTTCCCTAACATCCTCTATGCCCTGGGTTTGATCCTCAGCATTGCAAAAAAAACAACAAAAAATTAGTTTTATTCAACCTTACCTCTGCCACTTTCCAATAGAAACCCTCTACTCCAGCCTGTTTCCCCACTTTACACCCCATTTTCTCCAAACAGACCACCTATGGGCCCTGCTGGCCACTTTACCCCCAAGCCTAACCTGAAACAACTTTTCACGTCCCCACCAAAGATCGGTAGGTCCATATCATGTTCTTTTTTCTCCAAAATTTCTTTGACTCTGCTCTTTTTCTTAGAACCCCAGAATGTCTTCCTCCTTTTATCCCGTATGTCTCTTAGTGACACCAACTTTTGGTGGCTAACAAAACTCCTTTCTTCCTATTTTTAATTTTCTTGTAACACATAATCCAGGTTCCCTTCTACCCAAGTTTGCAAGCTCCTAAAGGCAGGGATCTAAGTCATAGACCTTATTCCCAGATCTTGCCAACAGTAACTCCTCCGAGAAGTTTTTGATTGTTGTCATTAAAGGGTACATTAATTGGAATCTGATCTGGGTGCAATGGCATATGCCTATAATCTCAGCAACTCAGGAGGCTGAGGCAGAAGGATCACAAGTTCAAAGCCAGCCTCAGCAACTTAGCAAGGCTTTCAGAAACTTAGTGAGACCCTGTCTCAATATAATAATTTTAAAAAGGGCTGGGGACATGGCTCAGTGGTTAAGCACCCCTGGGTTCAATCCATGGTACAGGAAAAAAAAAAGGAATCTATTGGGCTACAAGTAACAGAAACCAAACTGAGGCTGTTGATTTTATTGAATAAAAAAAGGAAATGACCTGCAAAACTAAAAAGCACATGTCACATGCAGGCATTTACTCTCATGCATATCTCTGCTGACTTCCTATGCATTGGCTTCATTCTTAAGCAGGCTCTCCAGTCCAGAGGACAAGATGCACTCCAGGTTTACATTCTTTTTTCTTTTTTTGAGGGGGGATTATTGGGGGTTTGTTTACCTGGGATTGAATTTAGGGGCACTCAACCACTGAGCCACATCCCCAGCCCTATTTTGTATTTTATTTAGAGACAGGGTCTCACTGAGTTGCTAAGCACCTCACCATTACTGAGGCTGGCTTTGAACTCATAATCCTCCTGTTTCAGCTCCTCCAGCTGCTGGGATTACAGGTGTGTGCCACTGTATCAGTCTTTAATTCTATTGGTTGACTACCACCAAGGAAAGAGAATTCTTTCCCAAGAGTCCAGAAATGATTCTTATTTCCCTAGTTTGGGTCATGTGCCCATTGTGACTCAATCTATGACGAAGGAAATGCAATTCTTCTAGAGCATCCTAGATGGATGGCCAGGCCTGGATTATAGATTTACTCTTAGATTTTGAATGTGCTTATCTTTCCCCAACCACATGAATTGGGGTGGTTCCAATAGAAGTTGCTGGCTGCAAAATAGTTACCAACAAAAGGGTGGTGATATTGGGCATGCAAAACCAAAGATGTAGACTGTGATGACTTCTGGTGTCCAGCTTCAGCAAGAACCTGAAGATATTTCAGGTCAGGTTGCATATTAGAATCATTGGGGAATTGGTTTGCCCTGGCATGGGGAGTAAGATGTTCTCTGGGCAGCTCCCCAGAGACAGCACAAGGATCCTAGGCTGAGGTGTTTGCTTAGTGCTGTCACTTACAGATTGTGATTCTGTTGGTCTTTCCTTTCCAGAGCCCGACTGGTGATTCTGCTGCCCAGTCAAGACTGAAATATTCTGCTCTAGGATAAGATATTCTGTAAAAAAAATTTAGATTTCCTCTTAGGGACAAGATCTTGTGTCAAGATTGGAATGATTTTTCCCAATCAGCACAACTTTTCAGAAAAGAACCACTGGGGGTGATGGGGTTGTGTAGCTCAGTGGTGGAAGGCTTGCCTGGTGCATGTGAGACATAGGGTTCGAGTCTCAGCATCACATAAAAATAAATAAATAAAAGTATAGTGTGAATCTACAACTAAAAAGAATATTTGGGGGAAGAAGAAGGAGGAGGAGGAGGAGGAGAAGAATCATCATCATCATCATCATCACTGGGGTTATCTTGGAGGCTCAAGATGCATGGGTGAATGGTGGGTGATGCTGTGGGTCCCATGCTCCTGAAAATAACAATAGCCACTGTTTATGGAATGCCAACTGCAAGACAGGCACTGTGCTCTGGGATTTAACAGATGGCAGCCCATGTAAATTTCAGTCTTCACAATAATCCACCCTGTGAATATCATGAATATTAACCCCATTTTACAGTTGAAAAGAGTGAGATACAAAAAGCTTGGCCAGCGTAACCCACCTTAGAGTGACAAATGGACATGCAGACACGGGGACCATCTGATCCTCTCTGGCCTGGCCCTCCTGCCTACAACAGGAGGTAGATAACAATGGGAGTGGGCCCCCTCACCTTGCCCTAGCTCTTAGGACCAGGAGTTCAAATACAAGAATCTCGGATCACTGCGGGATTCTGTAAGTTGATTTTATAAGAAAATGAGGCGGGGGAGGGGGCAGTGGCAGAGGACAAATTCAGAGGGATGAAGCCCAGAGTCTCTGTTTCAGGAACGCTCATTTAAACCCGGTGTTCTGAGGCTGTTGGGGCTCATGAAGACCCTGACCCAACCGCTTCCCTCCAGTGTCAACACCCTCGCTCACATATATTACCTGCTTTCTTTTTAAATTAAAACGCCACCTCCCCCAAATTCAGAGCTAGAGCAGGAACCTTCTCTTCCCAGAATCCTTGGTCCCCTTGGGATGCGCATTTGACTGTGTGGTGGGGGCGGGGAGGGCTTCCCTGTTTACGTCTTGCTCCCGGCAGACCTGCGGAAATCGCTTTCCCAGCACCCCCCCCCCCACACCTCCGCGCCCTTGGCCTGGCTCGAGGAGGGAAGTGTTATCCCGGAGTCTGGGCGCTTTGGCAGTAGCGGCCTCCCCAGGGACTGCAGGGAGAGCCCAGACAGTGGCGCCTGCTCAGTTCGCACTCACTGCGTCTAAGGCTCCCCCGGCCTGGCTCCGCGCCCAGCACAGCAGCCGCGAGGGCAAGTGAGGAGGCGGCGGAAGAGCCCGCTCGGCCAGGGGCCGGGTAAAGGAGCTGGCAAAGGGACCTCTAGGGGGCAGCACCAAGCCGCTAAGCACGTCCTCTGTTCGCGCTAAGCCTGGGGTCCCTAGGCAGCCCTTAGGGAAGCCCTTCTTTAGAATCCTGCAGGGTCCGCCCCGCCTCCACCGGGATTGGATAAAAGTGGGGAAGTGCCCATCCATCAAAAGCTGGTGGGAATAGGACTCAGGACTGTCCTGGGGCAAACGAATTCCTTCTTCCTGCCCCCCAAAGGTGGGTTCTTTTCCAGCAGGGTCCAGGGAGCAGCCTTAGGTTCTGGGTGGGGTATAGAAGACCCCAAGCCCTTACAGCCCCAGCCCATTGGCAGGTAGCGGGGAAGAAGACTGCTACGCAGTGTCCCAAGAACCATGTGGCCATAATTTCCTAGCCTCAGTTTCCCTAGCGACTTCTGGAAAGTCGCCATGTTATTGGTCGAGGCCCGGGGTCAGGGCCCCGCCCATCCTGGGCGGCCTCTGCCCCAGCCGGCTCAGCCGCTCCTCCCCTCAGCTACGGGTTCTCTCCCACGGTCCCTGAGGTGGGCGGGCGGGCACTGGATGACGGCTGCAGAACCCCGGCCCAACTCGCCCTCGCCTCCGCTCGGTGTCTGGGTTTCCCCAGTCCAGCTCACGCCCGGGGGCCGCCTGAACAGCCGCGCGCCCAGAGCTACCCGCCTCGCGCCTTCTCCTCCTGGGCGTCCCTGGCTCCTGCGCGTTGGGTCTCCAGGCTTGGAAACTGGGAGGAGGGAGGGAGCGCGGGAGCAACCAGCAGCGACCCGGAAACGCCATATAAGGAGCAGGAAGGATCCCCCGCCGGAACAGCCCTTATTTGGGCAGCGCCTTATTTGGAGTGGCCCGATATGGCCCGGCAGCTTCCGGCTCTGGGAGGAGGGGAAAAAGGAGGAGGGAAGGGGCGGGTGTAACGTCGGGAACTCCGAAGCTCTAGAGTCCGGGAGGCGCCAGCTGCGGCTCGAGCACTAGGTTTCCCCGAAGCCTGAGCCCTGGGGATGAGAAAGCGGTCGCGGGACCCGGGGTGCGGGATGTAGGTGTCCACCGCTCTTGGCTGGGGGCTTCACGTCACTCCGGGTCCTCCCGGCCGGTCCTGCCATATTAGGGCTTCCTGCTTTCCATATATGGCCATGTACGTCACGACGGAGGCGGATCCGTACTGTTCCAGACCCTTCAAATAGAGGCGGATCCGGGGAGTCGCGAGAGATCCCAGCGCGCAGAACTTGGGGAGCCGCCGCCGCCGTCCGCTACCCGCCGCTGCCAGCTTCCGCCGCCGTCGCAGGACCGGCCCCTGCCCCAGCCTCCGCAGCAGCGCCGCGTCCACACCAGCCCGCGGCGAAGGCGAACCTGGGGATTCCACTTGCGTTCTCCCCAGTGCACCCCACACCCCGCATGTGACCTGGCTAGTCCCCCGCAAGTGTGTCCCCCCGGCGGCTCCCCCGGGCTGCGCCCACCTGCCCCAACACCGGCTCTCCAGCCCGCTCGTTCGGGATGGCCGCGGCCAAGGCCGAGATGCAGCTGATGTCTCCGCTGCAGATCTCCGACCCATTCGGCTCTTTTCCTCACTCGCCCACCATGGACAACTACCCCAAGCTGGAGGAGATGATGCTGCTGAGCAACGGGGCACCCCAATTTCTCGGTGCTGCCGGGGCCCCAGAGGGCAACGGCAGTAGCAACAGCAGCAGCAGCAGCGGGGGCGGTGGAGGTGGAGGGGGCGGCAGCAACAGCAGCAGCAACAGCAGCGCCTTCAACCCTCAGGGGGAGCCAGGCGAGCAGCCCTATGAGCACCTGACCGCAGGTAAGCAGTGGCCTAGCCAACGACGAGCCCCCTTGTCTACTACCATTCTGACGGCCAATCCTTCACCGCAGGAGTGCTCCCATACCACAGGGATGCAATCGGGGTTTCCCTTCCATTCGCGCATCTCCAGGGGCATGTGTTAGAAGGAAGCCCGGAGACAACCCCCATCCTCGACCCTAGTGGTGCGCAGAAGACTGAGCTTTTTGGATGGAGAGCTCTAGAGCTGCGTGGGTGGGTGGAGAGGGGGAGGGCTTGTTTTGATGAGCAGTGCTGGGCCCCCATCCCCCTCCTGAAAGGCTTGCCTTGCCTACTGCCTGTCCCCAAGGAAGGGCCGAGATTTGTGGCCTGGGATGTCCCGGCAGCCCAGGGTAGGGGGCGCGCACTAGCCCTGGCCGTGGGGGGTGCTGGCGGGAATCCCTCACCCGCGCAACCGCTGCTGCGGAGCGCTGGGAGCTGCAGTGGAGGGGGATTCTCCGTATTTGCGTCAGCTGTTGAAACGGGCTCTGCCACTGGAGCAGGTCCAGGAACATTGCAATCTGCTGCTATCAATTATTAACCAGCTCAGGAGTCAATAGTAGCCTGCCGACCTCTTGCCTGGCAGCTCGAGTCCTCCTTGTTCTCCAGTGATTGTTCTCCAGTAACCAGGCCTCTCCCCTTTCTCTCTCCTGCCAGAGTCTTTTCCTGACATCTCCCTGAACAATGAGAAGGTGATGGTAGAGACAAGTTACCCCAGCCAAACCACTCGGCTGCCCCCCATCACCTACACTGGCCGCTTCTCTCTGGAGCCTGCACCCAACAGTGGCAACACCTTGTGGCCTGAGCCCCTCTTCAGTCTAGTTAGTGGCCTGGTGAGCATGACCAACCCACCGGCCTCCTCATCTTCAGCACCATCTCCAGCGGCTTCCTCCTCTTCCTCTGCCTCCCAGAGCCCACCACTCAGCTGCGCAGTGCCATCCAATGACAGCAGTCCCATTTACTCAGCGGCACCCACCTTCCCCACGCCCAACACTGACATTTTCCCTGAGCCACAAGGCCAGGCCTTTCCGGGCTCTGCAGGCACAGCACTTCAATACCCGCCTCCTGCCTACCCTGCTGCCAAGGGTGGCTTCCAGGTTCCCATGATCCCCGACTACCTGTTTCCACAGCAGCAAGGAGACCTGGGCCTGGGCACCCCAGATCAGAAGCCCTTCCAGGGCCTAGAGAGCCGTACCCAGCAGCCTTCACTTACTCCACTCTCTACTATAAAGGCCTTTGCCACTCAGTCGGGCTCTCAGGACCTAAAGGCCCTCAATACCACCTACCAGTCCCAGCTCATCAAACCAAGCCGCATGCGCAAGTACCCCAACCGACCCAGCAAGACGCCCCCTCACGAACGCCCTTATGCCTGCCCAGTGGAGTCTTGTGATCGCAGGTTCTCCCGTTCCGACGAGCTCACTCGCCACATCCGCATCCACACAGGCCAGAAGCCCTTCCAGTGTCGCATTTGCATGCGCAACTTCAGCCGCAGTGACCATCTTACCACTCACATTCGCACCCACACAGGCGAGAAGCCCTTTGCCTGTGACATCTGTGGGAGAAAGTTTGCCAGGAGTGACGAGCGGAAGAGGCATACCAAGATCCACTTGCGGCAGAAGGACAAGAAAGCAGACAAAAGTGTTGTGGCCTCTTCGGCCACCTCCTCCCTTTCTTCCTACTCATCCCCAATTGCTACCTCTTACCCATCCCCTGTCACTACCTCTTACCCATCCCCTGCCACCACCTCATACCCATCTCCAGTGCCCACTTCCTACTCCTCTCCTGGCTCCTCAACCTATCCATCCCCTGTGCACAGTGGCTTCCCCTCACCCTCTGTGGCCACCACCTATGCCTCGGTTCCCCCTGCATTCCCCACCCAGGTCAGCAGCTTCCCTTCCTCGGCTGTCACCAACTCCTTCAGCGCCTCCACAGGTCTTTCGGACATGACTGCAACCTTTTCTCCCAGGACAATTGAAATTTGCTGAAGGAAAAATGAAAACAAAGGGAAAAGGGAGAAAAAAGAAACACAAGAGACATAAAG